GCCTTTACTATGAGTAGAAATCACATATTGCAGATTTAGTCGAATTTCTTGTGAAGGGAAAGAGGAGGAAGATGAAGATTTCAGCAGTAGAGAAGAAAAGAGAAGGAGAAAAGAGCAGGAAGTCAACCAGGATTCTTAGATAAACCCTAGCCGCCAACCCCTCATTGTATTTATACTTAACTTAAAGGATGATATATTACAAGGATGCCCTTAATAGGGCGGCTACTAATGTAGCTGAACAGTCACAACTTAAAAACATAAACTAATGGGCCTAAAGCCTAACAACTTCCTAACTAAATAACTTAAAATAAGAATAAAAACAACTAGGCCCAACTCAACACTCCCCCTCAAGTTGGGAGTAAATGTCACACATTCCCAATTTGTGTAGATCATGTTCCAGCTTGTTCTTTGCAACACCTTTTGTGAGAACATCAGCAAACTGCAGATCAGAAGCAATGTATGGAAGACAAACTTCTCTAGAAGTTACCCTTTCTCTGATAAAATGTCTATCCACTTCAATGTGCTTAGTTCGGTCATGCTGGACTAGGTTATGGGCAATGTTAATTGCTGCCTGGTATCACAATACAACATCATAGGTTCTTCTGCATATACACCAATTTCTTCTAAAAGGGAACGGATCCAAAAAGTTCTGAAACTCCATGTGCCATGGCCCTGTATTCAGCTTCAGCACTTGGTCTTGCCACCACTGTTTGTTTCTTACTCTTCCACGAGACAAGGTTACCCCAAACAAGGGTGCACACTCCTGAAGTTGATCTCCTGTCATCAAGGCATCCTGCCCAATCTGCATATGTATAAGCCTCTAGTTTCAACTGTCCATGATCAGTAAACAATATGCCTCCGCCCGGGTGTCCCTTCAGATAAGCAAGAATCCTGCCAACTGCCTCCCAATGCTGGACTCGTGGAACATGCATGTATTGACTTACCAAACTTACTGCATAGGAAATGCCTGGTCTTGTCATACACAAGTATATCAGTCGACCCACAAGTCTCTGATATCTCCCAATGTCCTTTACTGTCTTACCTTTTTATGCATTGATTCTATGGTTCTGATCAGTAAACCCATCTGCATCCAACCGTCTCCTTGCCTTCTGGTAGGTCCACAATGTCCCATGTCCGATTCTTAATCAAAGCCTCTATCTCCTCCTGCGTAGTTGTCTTCCACTCAGGTTTGGAGAGAGCCTCACTAACACCCTTGGGTATAGACACTGAATCAAGAGAAGAGAAAAAAACACAGTAGAAAGGAGAAAGTCCATTGTAGGATAAGTACTGTGAAATACAATTAGCAGTACACTTTCTCTTCCCTTTTCTGAGAGCAATAGGAAGATCAAGGTTATCTGTAACAGGGTTAGTAGAATCAAATGGGAACTGAAACAGTAGCAGGACCAAGAGGAATACCTAAATCCATGTCGAATGAATCTGGAGTCTCCAACGAACTGACAAGAAGTGATGTGAGTTCTGCTACAATGGAATCAACCTCCTTGTGAAGTCACTGTCGTAGGTAATGCTGAGAAGCAGGAAGCAAATGAGGTGGTAAGGTAGGTGACACAGAAGGGTCAAGCACAAGAATAGACACAGGGACTGGAACTAGAAGAGGAATAGACTGTTGACTCACTTCCCCAAAACACTCCTCCTGAGAAAGATTCTTTGAGAAGAAGCATGTGGATTCAAAAAAGGTGATATCAGTGGTAACATACAGGCTCCCAGAGACAGGATCATAGCAGTAGTACCCTTTTTAATTTTCTACATATCCAAGGAAGACATACTTCTTTGCCTTGGGATCAAGCTTTGAGCGGTGAGGACCAATGATATGTCCAAAGCAGACACACCCAAACACCCTGAGAGGATTATATGAAACATCTCCCCCTCAAGAAAAATGAGACTAAATGGGGTGCTGAATCCAAGTATACAAGAGGGCACCATGTTAATCAGATATACTACTGTGAGAACTACATCACCCCAAAACCGAACTGGAACTGTAGATGTGATCATCATGCTTTTTGCAATATCAACAATGTGTCTGTCCTTCCTTTTTGCAACACCATTCTGTTGTGGATTATAGGGACAACTGCTCTGATGGACAGCACCATATTCTAACAGATATGAGGCAAGGTGTTTTTCAAAATATTCCCTAGAATTGTCTAATCTGAACACCTTTATTCTTGTTCCAAAATGTGTTAGCACCATCTAATAAAATTGCCTCACCAAAGATGGTACTTCGTCGCGGGATCTCATCAGGTAAATCTAAAAGCATCATGAGAAATCATCCACAAATAAGAGAATATCGATAGCCTCCCATGGAAGGAACATGGTAAGGTCCCCACACATCAAAATGAATAACATCAAAAGAATAACACCTTTTATTATTAGACTTAAATGAATGTCTACAATGCTTTCCAAGTTGACAACCTTCACACTCCAGACTTGACAAACTAACAGACTCAAAAAGATTTGGAAACAAAAGACTCAAAGAAGAAAAAGGTAAATGGTCCAAACGATTATGCCAAAGTATAATTTGACCCACAGACCCTGACACTATCCTTGCTGACATGATGACTCTGATGAGGAGGAAGCACATCCAGGAGGTAGATCCCATTCACTTCACGACCACTCCCAATCGTCCTCTTTGAATCTAGATCCTGCAAAATACAATGACTAGGAGAAAAAATTACTGAGCAGTTCAGGTTCTTAATCAAACTACTAACAAATAACAAATCAGTGCTCAATCTAGGAACATGAAGGACAGAGGGTAGAAAAATAGAATCACTAATCTTGACAGATCCCTTCCCAGCAATGGGAACATGGGATCCATCAGCTGTGGAGACCCTATCTCTGCCAGAACAAAGCTAGTAAGAAGAAAAAATAGTAAAGCTATGAGTCATGTGCTCTGAGGCTACAGAATCTATAATCCAAGGAGGTCCCTCCTTACCTAAAGTAGAAACATAATTTGCAGTGATGTGTGAACTACTTGTGTAAGCAAAGGAAGTAAAGTGGACTCCACCAGTACCACCTGTACCTTGTTGTCCGCTTGCTACTGAACTGGAACTGGTTGTATCCCGCTGGTTCAGAAGTTGCCCATACCTCTCAAGTTCAGCCCTTACTGCAGCAGCTACAACAGACTCCAGAGCAGTTGTAGTAGGAGGGGCCGGAATGTCACCAGTAACTGCCATGTGTGCATTTCCCTTCTTATTTTTCAGTCTAGTCAGCACAAGATGTGGGTGAAGCTTCCAACAAGTATCTCTCGTGTGTTTAGGCTTCTTACAGTAGTCAGATCAAATCTTTTATCTTCCTTCTTGATTTCACTACCACCCCGATCTCCACTTTGTTTAGGTTTCACAGTACTCACCATGGCAGACTGATCAGAAACAAGATTTTTCATCATCACATCTCTCCTGCTCTCCTCCCCTGACACAAAGGCATATGCCTAGGAGAGGGTAACATTGTCCCTAGAAAGAAGATGTTGTCTTGCAATATCATACTTAGGATTAAGGCCAACAAGAAATTCAAACACCTTATACTTTTCTAGATGTTTCTGATAGGTAGTTGCATCCTTAGTGGTTTCCCAAGCAAATGTCTCTAAATGGTCAATCTCCTGCCACAGGGTTTTAAGGGCTGAAAAATAGGCTAAACAGGTCTATCTCCCTGCCTTGTAGAAATAATCTGATTTCTCAACTGATAAGCCCTAGCAACATTCCCCCTCTATGAATAGGTTTCTGCAACCCCATCCCATATTTCCTTAGCTATATTTGCCCATAAAAAATTTTTACTTATATGGGGCAACATGGAATTACACAACCAAGTCATCACCATATAATTCTCATGTACCCACCGAGAGTTGTTAGTTTCGGGTTTCACTTTTTCACCAGTGATATACCCTAATTTTTTTTTTTATCAATAATGATATACCCTAATTTCCCACGAGCACCAATGGACATCTTTGCAGATTGTGACCATTTTAAGTAGTTTGCACCATCCAACCTAACAGTAGTAATGGTCCCAGTCCCGAAAAGGTCTCTAGCATCTCCTTCCCATTGGTCCCATTTCACTCCTGGTCTTATTTTCAACTCCGTGACCCTCCATGATTCTCAAAAAGTGTAAAGAAAATAATTGAAATACGCAAAAAGATCAAACGAAACACTTATGGATCCAACAACACATTTCTAGTGTCCTAGACCGTCTTCCCACAAATGATTCCTTTTCTGCGGGACGGAAAAAGAGAAAGAAGAGGCAGTCGCTCTCTCTAGAAGCCTCCAAATCAAGCAGGACTTGAACCGCCCCTTACAAAAAAACTCCAAGGAACCCTAAAAAATTAGGGCGCCACTTCCTAGGTCAAAATAGAAGAGTCCAATAGAAACAGGACTCTTCCCCTTTCTCCAATTTTTCCTGATTTTGATGAGAAACACTAGACCAGCTACAAGGCAAACAGATCCACCAAAAAATCCAAAAACTGGGCTTACCTGAGAGCTTCGATCAGCCTCTTAAATCACCATGCAGTCGGCCGATCTAGGGCTGCATGAGAAAACAACTCAAGGAACCTTCGGCCTACTCTGATACCAAGTAGAAATCATTGATTGCAGATTTAGCCGAATTTCTTGTGAAGGGAAAGAAGAGGAAGATGAAGATTTCAGCAATAGAGAAGAAAAGAGAAGGAGAAAAGAGTAAGAAGTCAACCAGGATTCTTAGATAAACCCTAGCCGCCAACCCCTCATTATATTTATACTTAAACTTAAAGGATGAGATATTACAAGGATGCCCTTAGTAGGGCGGCTACTAATGTAGCTGAACAGTCACAACTTAAAAACATAAACTAATGGGCCTAAAGCCCAACAACTTCCTAACTAAATAACTTAAAATAAGAATAAAAACAACTAGGCCCAACTCAACACTATGTTAAAGGTGGACTTAATTTCTATCAGATAAATGATAATATGAAGTTAACAATCTATAATCATCTGGAAGTAAAATCTCCAAGTAAGAAATACCTTCACAACTGCAGAGTACACAACAACCTTGTAATTTGCATAATTATGATGGACAAGAGGTGCCTCGATGAAATATGATACAGAATGAGTAAAGTAATCCGGAGAGACATATCCAATAACAAGTGATCGTTCTGGATCTTTTGGGTTGTCCCAAGATGTGTACTGTGGATATAACCTCATAAAGCGTCTACCCCAATCCCTGCAAATAAATAGTTGATTTAAGATGTATATTTAACAAATAGGTTAACATTTTTGTGTTATTCAAACCGACATCTTGAAAACCAATTAAAAAATAGAAGTGATTAGGGCACATCCTATTTTTGATAAAGGGGGATGTGCCCTATCTATCAAAACTGGGGTGCACCAAATCAGTCCCCAAAGAAATCATCAGTGCAAGTCAGAGCATTTTCAACTAGTATATAATCCGAATAAGATCCCAAAGAAACAAGAAAAGAATCAAATAGCTCAGTTTCAAAGGGAGTGATAGAGCTAAAGCTAATTCATTTCTCCGTGCATTGGGACAACATACTTTTTTCTTTTGATGCATGTAATGTTTGTGGCTCTATACAAGAATGTGCATGGTTTATCTTCATAACCACGTAAAGTGTGCCTTTCTGGAAATTCCCTTATTTCAATACATCAATACAATACTTGACATTATAAAAAAAGAAACTAGATGTTCTGTAATGAGAATTGGAAGTGTCAATCTTAATGTTTTTTTATTTTCTTTTCCAATTGTGTTGGTGACTCCTTGTCACTTGACAAGTTGTTAAGATTTTTTTACTTTTATTGAGTTTACCTTGTACTATCAAAAAGAAAAAGAAAAACAGAAAGAAGGAACAGACAGTAGAAGTTTATCTAGAAGAAAAGTGGCTCCTAAGACCTAGGAGACAAACCTTAGCCTGTTTTCTACACTAAAAAATGATTAGCTCAACACATATGATGTTTAGTAGGAACACGCTTATTCTAATAAGGTCCTAAAATAAGAAACAAGATTCACTTAATCCCAAACATGCAAAACATTAATCTTCAAATCCCTCTTGCCTGACGGGAAACAAAATGCTTGGGGATCAAAACTTGAACAGGGAGAGGTAAGAGGATAAAGCACTACAATTGACTTTCTGCAACAACATCAAGATAAAGAGTGTATGCACAAACAGACCTGCCAGGAAATGGAGATTTTCTGTGGAAGAAGTTGGTAATAGAAATTTATCAATACCTATGTGCTTCAAAAAGTTTATCATCATTGCCTTCATTTATGTAGTTCATTGCAAGTAAGCGATTCTGCAGTATTAAAGAACAGAAAAAGCATTTTAGCTAAAACCCAATAACAATCATCTTTATCCACAGAAGAAAAAATAAGATAAATATGCAGCTATTACTGAATAAGGTGCTACAATGTCTATTGATATTTACATTGCATCTACCCATAGCACCTTAATTTTCTGTGTCATCATATAAAACGGGTTGAGTTGAAAGCAAATGTAACAATTCTTGATGAATTCTTCATTTACTTATATTTTATAATAAAATGCAAACAAATTTAAATTTTCAAATTAATATCAAGTGCATACAGATGCAAGGGCTTATATGGTCCTAATTAAAATCATCTATAGAGAAATAGATTGCTAGAATGGGACATACCATATTCTTGAATTAATGTTGCAACAAATAATAGGCTGAGAGAAAAGTGAAGAAAGAGAAGGTATCAAGGAATATTTTTGTAAGATAAATCAGTTTCTTTGCTTCTCCTGTAGTCATGAGTTAAGGGATTATTTCAGCTCTCCAGGACTCTCCAGAACTCTCCAGGATTCAACAATCAATACCTCTATCTCAAGTTCTTAACATACAATCTTCTCACCAACCTCTAACTCCCCCACCCAGAAAAAGGAAAAATACAGGAAAAAAATAGATAACAAAGACCAATAATGACAACAACAAAAACAGCAGCAGTGAAGTTCTTATACATGTCAAGAGTCAAGACAACCCTCCAACTGGTTAGATGATTATCATGGTAGCTTAAATCTCTTGCTCAATACACAACCAGCACAGTACTCATGATGGAGAACCACTGTCACTCTTACACAAGACTTGATTAATAATCAAGCCCAGCTCTCAGAACATTTCCAGAAAAATAGATAAATAAGAGACAGTACACTACCAACTTAATTGGTCCACAGCCTAATAGCTTAAGTTTTTGGGCTTTGAGGTTAAAGGTGGTGTCCAACTCTTGTGTGTAAGTCCTGTGTATATGTATGAGCTCCCTGATTTTTTCAACTCCCCTCACTTCCTAACAGAGATCAAAACAAGAATATAAAAATATGTGAACACTATACCAGAGGTTTTAACATATTAGATATCCCAATGACACACAAAATTAAACAAAAATAAATGGCACTTAAGCAAGACAAAGACTTCCCCCCTTACAGAAACCTTGATGTTGGAATTGAAACACTTGAACAATTCACTGTACATATACAATGCAATATGCATCACCAAGCATCCTCGACCAAAAAAAGTGTGTTCGCAATCATAAAATTCTGCTCTCATTTCTTGCGAATGCTGTTTCACATCCCTCAAAATGTCTATTTCCATGGTCCCTGGTTGTGATGCTTTAGGCAGTTCATAGTTAACCGAGAATCTCCTTCCACCACTGTCCTTGTAATTTAATAACTTCCCCAGATTTAGTCCTTGACAATGTTTTAAAACACGGAGGTGCAGTGCGAGATGTCCCACTACCTGGAGGCATGAGGTGTAGTTCAGAATGTAAGAGGTGTAAGCCTCCATAAGAGGGGGATGAGGAAGAAGAAAAAGAAAGAGGGGGAGGAGGAAGAAGAAGAGGGAGGATTTTATTTTCTTTGATTTTAATAAAAATCTTTTATATTTACAAGAATTGAAGATGCATAACACGAGCAAGCGAAGCAAGCAAGCCGGAGCAAAGCAAGACCCCCCTAGCACAAACAACGCAAATTGGGCTGCATTGAAAAGGGATAGGAGTGTGAACGGTATTCGAAAATCCAATTTTGAATTCGAGATTCAACATAATCAAATCGAATTCGGACAATTTGAATATTGTAATCAGTCAAATTTGGATATGACCTGATTGACTGATTCTATTGGATAAATATCCAAACTCGATCAATTATTTAATTATTATATATAATATATAAAATATTTAAATATTGTAAATAATTTATATATTTATATTCTTCATATAAATAAAATATTTATTTTATATATTTAGTAATTACCTAAAATAATTAGTCAATCAAATTCGAAACGAATTGAATATTCTAATATTTAATCGAATTTGAAATTCGAGCATTGATTTTCAATATCCGTCGGATATCGAATTTTCTAATCGGATTCAAATTTGGATATTGCTCGATTCGAATTCAAATCCGAACTGTTTACACCCCTTAAAAGAGGTTGGGGTCCCACTTTCTTTCCCCTTCTCTTTTCTTCCCGTTTCTTTTCTTTCTTTTCTCTTTTTTTCTTCTCTTTCTTTCTTTCTCTTTCCCTTGCCTTTCTTTTACTTTTTTTTCTTTCTTTTTTTCTTTTCTTTTTGTCTTTTTGTATGAGGTGTGCGTGAGGCACATCCTCTAGTCATGAAAAAGGTGTATGCCTTAAAGGTATCAATGCCTCTAACATAAGCTTTAGGGCGTTTTGGGGGCACCTCATCTAGAGTTGTGCCTCCAGGCATATACCTCCCACACTTTTTAAAACATTGGTCCTTGATACAAGGCAAGAAATTCCACTCTGGCTGAGTTCACTTGGCTCATGGGTCCAGAATTGAGGGCCAATATCAAAACATTGTGATCCCTAAACACCCCACCTATACTTGATCTTCCTGTGTTTCCAAAACTACTGCCATCAAAGTTGAGCTTAACCTGATGTGCATTTGTAGGTATCAATTGTTTATCCTAATATTAACTTCAAACAACAATAGTTCTGTAGGGAAAGCCCCACAATTCACATGCAGGAAGGGAATACATTTTAGCACTAATATCCTTACGAGTGCCCAAGAGGAATCCTGCAAGGTGAGCAAATAAAAATGCCTAAAGGGATTGATAAAAAATACTGTAACAGAAGCATTGTATATACTTGAGTTTATTAGCCCCCTGCATGCATTGCAACTGTATTTTAGATGTCACAGTGAGAAATTCAACACAATAAATAGTTACCTGGCCTGCATTACGAGAATCAGGATCTATCTTAAGGCAGTGCTCATATGCTTCAATAGCCTGAGATATATCCCCCGCATCTCTGTACAGAACCCCTACACACACAAATAACTTTAGGAAGTGCAGCAACTAAAGCGATGACTATATGTATATTCTGACTGTGACCATAAGAAAAGTTTTTGCCTGTTTTCGACAAACTATGCTATTTCAAAGTTTCACTTCCAATTTTTTGTGGAAGTTGTTGAGTGGGTCGGTTTGTTTTGTTGAGTGGCCCGGTTTGTCTTTAGTTTGTTTTTATTTAATTAGGAAGTTGTTGGGCCTTCGGCCCATTAGTTTTTTATTTTTTAAAGTTGCAACTATTCAGTTTTAGTAGCCGCCCTACTAAGGGTATCCTTGTAATATCTCATCTTTAAGTTAAATATAAATATAATGAGGGGCTGGCGGCTAGGGTTAACTTTCTCATAACTCTAGTTGACCTCCTACTCTTTTCTTCTTCTCCTTCCTTCTCTACTGCTGAAATCTTCACCTTCCCCCTCTTTCTCTCACAAGAAGCTTGACTGAATCAGCAAATAGTGATTTCTACTTGGTATTAGAGCAGGTTAAAGGTTCTTGAAGTTGTTCTCTCATGCAGCCCTAGATCGGCCAACTGCATGGTGATTTAAGAGGCTGATCGAAGCTCTCAGGTAAGCCTAACTTTTGGATTTTCTTGATGGATCTGTGTGCCCTGTAGCTGATCTAGGGTTTCTCATCAGAATCAGGAAAAACTGGAAAAAGGGGAAGAGTCTTGTTTTTGCTGGACTCTTCAATTTTAACCTAGGAAGTGGCGCCCTAGTTTTTTAGGGTTCCTTGGAGTTTTTTGTAAGGGGCGATTCAAGTCCCACGTGGTTTGGAGACTTCTAGAGAGGGCGGTTGGTTTTTCTCTCTCTTCTCCCATCCCACTGAAAAATGAATCTTTTGTGGGAAGAAAGCCCAGGACACCAAGAAAGTGTTGTTGGTTCCAAAAGGTGTCTTGTTTGATCTTGCTGCAATTTTTAGTTATTTTCTTTACCTTTTTTGAGAAGCATAGAAGGCCATAGAGTTGAAAATAAGCCCGGGAGTGAAATGAGACCAGTGGGAGGGGTGCTGGAGATTCCTTCGGGGCTGGAACCATTACTACAGTTAGGTTGGATGGTGCAAACTACTTGGAATGGTCACAATCTACAAAGATGGCCATTGGGCCTCATGGGAAATTAGGGTATATCACTGGTGAAGAGGTGAAACCTGAAACTAACAACTCCCGATGGGTGCAGGAAAATTATATGGTGATGACTTGGTTGTGTAATTCCATGTTGCCACATATAAGTAAAAATTTCTTATGGGCAAACACTGCTAAGGAAATATGGAATGGGGTTGCAGAAACCTATTCACAAAGGGAGAATGTTGCTAGGGCTTATCAACTGAGAAATCAGATTATTGCTACAAGGCAGGGAGATAGATCTGTTGTAGCCTATTTTTCAGCCCTTAAGACCTGGTGGCAGGAGATTGACCATTTGGAGACCTTTGCTTGGGAAACCATCAAGGATGCAGCTACCTGTCATAGACATTTAGAGAAGTATAGGGTGTTTGAATTCCTTGTTAGCCTTAACCCTGAGTATGATATTGCACGACAGCATCTTCTTTCCAGGGATAGTGTCACTCTCTCCCAAGCATATGCTTTTGTGTCAGAGGAGGAGTGCAGGAGGGATGTGATAATGAAAACCCAAATTTCTAATCAGTCTGCCATGGTAAGTGTTGTGAAACCTAAACAAAGTGGCGGTGAGATCAAGAAGGAAGACAAAAGAGACTTGGTTTGTGACTACTGTAAGAAGCCTAAACATACAAGAGATACTTGTTGGAAGCTTCACCCACATCTTGTGCCGACTAGATTGAGAAATAAGAAGAAAATGCGCACATGGGAGTTACCGGTGACACTCCGGCCCCTCCTACTACAACTGCTTTGGAGTCTGTTGCAACTGCTGCAATAAGGGCCGAACTTGAGAGGTATGGGCTACTTCTGAACCAGCGGAATATAGCTAGTTCCAGTTCAGCCGCAAGCGGACAACAAGGTACAGGTGGCATTAGTGGAGCTCACTCTACCTCCTTTGCTCACACAGGTAGTTCACACGTCACTGCAAATTATGTTTCCACTTCAAGTAAGGAGGGACCTCATTGGATTATAGATTTTGGAGCCTCAAAGCCCATGACCCATAGCTCCACTATTTTTTCCTCTTACCAGCTCTGTTCTGGCAGAGATAGGGTCTCCATTGTTGATGGATCCCATGTTCCTATTGCTAGGAAGGGATATGTCAAGATTAATGATTCTATTTGTTTACCCTCTATCCTTCATATTCCCAGATTGAGCACAAATTTGTTACCTGTTAGTAGTTTGCCTAAGAATTTGAACTGCTCAGTAATTTTTTCTCCTGCGCGTTGTATTTTGTAGGATCTGGATTCAAAGAGGACGATTGGGAGTGGTCGTGAAGTGAATGGAATCTACCTCCTGGATGTTCCCCCTCACCAGAGTCATCATGTTAGCAGGGGCAGTGAGTTAGGATCTGTGAGTCAGATTATGCTTTGGCATAATCGTTTGGGCCATTTGTCTTTTTCTTCTTTAAGTTCTTTGTTTCCAAAACTTTTTGAGTCTGTTAGTCTGTCAAGTCTGGAGTGTGAAGGTTGTTGAACTTGGAAAGCATTCTTTTAAAACTAGTAAAAAAAGATGTTTTTCTTCTTTTGATGTTATTCATTCGGATGTGTGGGGTCCTTACCATGTTCCTTCTATGGGAGGCTATCGCTATTTTCTCCTATTTGTGGATGATTTCTCTCGATACTCTTGGATTTACCTGATGAAATCCCGCGTTGAAGTACCATCCTTGGTGTGGCAATTTCATCAGATGGTACTAACACAGTTTGGAACAAGAATAAAGGTGTTCAGATCTGACAATGCCAGGGAATATTTTGAAAGACATCTTGCCCCGTACTTGTTAGAATATGGTGTTGTCCATCAGAGCAGCTGCTCCTACAATCCACAACAGAATGGTGTTGCAGAAAGGAAGAACAGACACATTGTTGAGACCGCAAGAAGCATGATGATCACATCTACAGTTCCAATTCAGTTGGGGTGATGCAGTTCTCACAACAGTATATCTGATTAACAGGGTGCCTTCTCGTATACTTGGATTCAGCACTCCATTCAGCCTTCTTTTTCCTCAGGGGGAGATGTTTCATGTTCCTCTCAGGGTGTTTGGGTGTGTCTGCTTTGCACACATCCTTGGTCCTCACCGCTCGAAGCTTGATCCCAAGGCAAAGAAGTGTGTCTTCCTTGGATATGCAGAGAATCAGAAAGGGTACCGCTACTATGATCCAGTCTCTGGGAACCGATATATTACCATGGATGTCACCTTTTTTGAATCCACGTACTTCTTCTCACAGAATCCTTCTCAGGGGGAGTGTTTTGGGGAAGTAAGTCAACAGTCTATCCCTCTCCCAGTTCCAGTCCCTGTGTCACCGCCTATGCTTGACCACCGCCTGGTGCCACCTACCTTGCCACCTCCTTTGCGCTTTGTTTCGCAGCATTACTCACGACAGAGACTTCACAAGGCGATTGATTCCACTACAGCAGAACTCACACCACTTCTTGTCGATCCCTTGGAGACTCCA